TAGTTCTCTTCTTTTCCCTCGTAGCAAAAGAGTTGCCTGCAAGGAAAATCTGCGATTTCCCCAACGCGGCAAAATCGGGCAGTTGCAAGAAGATAGCCCCGAGGTGCTAGTTCTCGGGGCAGCTGCTCTAGAGCTGAGTGGAGTGCATTTGCACGATTCACTTCAAGGCGGTTAATGAATTACAACCGCATCATTACCTCTACATGTTGGTTTTAAACACATATTTATTCTTCTCTGGCTCAACAGTCACCCTCCAGAGTGAATCCAGGGCTCGGAGCACTTCTCCTTTTAATTCTTCTACTTCATAATCTCCTCCTCCTCCTTCATTGCATTTTCTCTTTCCTTCTTCTCCGTTTCCTTCTTCTTCTCTTCCTTCACTTTTCTCTTTCTCCTTCCCTTTTAAATAATACCTTTATTCTAACGTGGCTATGCCTTCCCGCCTGGCACAGAACGACTCCGGGTTTTGGGCACCAGAATGCTCGGCTCTGCGCGGACACAGGCTCCGGTAACGGCCTGGGCGCCGCCTTGTCAGTGCCTTGCTCTTTCTTCTCTCTTCTCCTGCGCGGTCAGGGATGGAAAGGAGGGAAGCGCGATTTCCTCCTGCACCCTCCGGCCTTTCCGCCGCCGTTCCGGGCTAGTCCATGGGTGCCATAGGAAACAGAATGCACCTGAATTACTGTACGGTGCAAGGGAATTTAATTAAGAATATACACATTAGAATTTCAGTGGGATTGCCTATTTAATGTTACTTTATTAAACCTCCTATCAAACCCTTTTTTATGTATATCAGTTGATATACAATTAATCTGTTCTCTTGTGAGAAAAAAAAAACACAGCACCTGAGGTGAATGAAAAGTGTCAGATGATAATAATTATCAGCAGCTGTTCACTTGGAGCACCTCTGGCCGACACAGGGGATGCTGTGAGCTACCACTCCTCGCAACAGCCCACCTCATTAGATTTGACCTTCCCAGCTGGGGATTTCATTTGTGTTTTTTTAATGGGTTTGTATACTGCAAATCACAACACCTTATGAAGACGGAGTCTTTGTAGCTCTAACAAAAGAGAGCAAGCGAGTTTACAAAAAAGCCGCAGCTCCAGCCGGCTGGCAGGGTACCCGCCGCTGTAACGCAGGTAACTTTTCAGCCACTGGCTGGGGAAAGGCGTCCCAGCCCGACGTCTTAGCTGAGATAAATGCATTTCCCTGGCTTTGAAGCGCCTCTGCCCGGCGCAGCCACCAGCAGTAAAAAAGTAATTGCCGAGTCCTGATTGCACTTTGGAGCGTGATGACAGCCCACTTAAGGCCGGGACTCCAGACCCAGCAGCAGCACGCCGTCTCCGCACAGAGTGTCTTTCCCGCAGACAGCCCGGGACACGCCGGCGGTGGCTGTGGATCAGATGCCGGCGGAAGTGGAGATTACAGATATACAGAGGCGGGGGGAGTCTTTGGGAAAAAAACACATCTCTGGTTTTCTTTTTCCTTTCCATTTATGTTTGTAATAAACTCAGTCTCATACAATTAGCCTCAATTGTTTTTATATCTTCGGAGGCAATAATGCAGGCAGCCTGGGGAATACGGTGGTAATCCGTATACCTGTGTTCATTTACCCAAATCACTATGGTTACAGCCGGGGCAAACTGTTTACTGTGAGAATCCGAGAGCCTCTTTCCAGCTACTAATGACCTTTCTGTTCCTCCAATAACATCAACAAACCGGGGAGGCTGCCCACGCCATTAAAGCCAATTGCCTCTCAAGTTACTGAGGGACTTGCGCGTTTCCTCATTTATTTTCTCTCATCTGATGTAACTCACATGCCACTTTCTTGTCTTTAAAGAAGGGGGAAAACTGTGGATTATTGATTTGCTTCTGAACAGAAGACCAACCTAAAAGCCCCGATGAATTGTCACTCATTATTGAAATTACTGAACACTAATTAAACTGGCAGCTCAAATCCCAGCAGACCGCGCTCATCTGAAGCTGAAATTCAGACACTTGGGCAGTGGAAGAGAGAGAGCGTTAGCAACCACCGGGACTGTAATAAGCTTTGCATTAATTTTTGCCTCTTAAAGGCACACAGCCCTATTTGCAGCAGCCCGCACTAAGGTGGAACGGCCCCAGGCGCCTGTCCTGGTTCTTTGCAGAAGTGGCCCTTCCGATCTGTCCTAGAATTTCTCCGTAAGACTCAGCCCTGCTCCCGGGTGCGGGCAGAGCAGGCAGCCTGAGACACCCACCAGAGAGCCCGAGAAAGCAGCAGGCGGCACCGCGGGCGCAGGAAGGGTGGCTGCCACAAGGAAGGCTGGCAAGTCGGGCGTCTTTGGTGAAAGGAAACTGAGTCAGACCGGCTGCAGAGCAGTGACAGTGCAGGCCTGCCCGGGAAGGAACAATGCCAAACGGCATTTCCAATTCATCAAGTCTGATTTACTTTCTAAAATACGCCCTGGCCTATTTTCACGGCTGCACAAACGCCACATAAATTATGCATGATTATGGCTAATCCACCCCCTTTGGTGCTGCCTGAGTCGCAGCCTCTCCTTTGCTCAGCTTCAAAGGGGGCTGGTTCTGGGGAAGGGCTGGTCCAAGGCTGAGGCCGAGACAGTGTCCTGCAGTCACAGGAAGTCTGAGCTAACCGGGCTTCACGAAGGCCTGTGTGCACAGCCAAGGCGTGCCCAGCACGGAGGTGGCGGGTGCTGCCCTCTCGGCCAGGCATATTCAGACAAGGGTTTCTTGTTGGGGTTATTGCTTTCTTTCTTGAGACTTTTTTCAAAAGTATGAAATTAGCAACGTTTATAGCAGCTTTATCTGTAAGGACCAAACCTGGAAGCAACCCAGCCGTCCATCTGCGGGTGAATGGACAAACAGACTGTGATACGTCCATACGGTGGAATACTACTGAGCGATGAAAAGGAACGAACTACAGACACACACAACACAGCAGGTGTTCTCTTTTACAAGTGGGCTGTTTGGGACCATCATTCACACTGCCCGGTGGATGGATCTAATCTGGCTGCTTTCCTCCAAACCTCACAAAAGAACATGCATTTTAGAAAGGACCCAGAGGATGGAGATAAGGCAGGTGTGTTGGTGCCTGGGCATGTTGAGAGAGGGCCCATAGGGGAGTCCCTGGAAGGCCTTGTCACCTGTAGGTGACAACCACAGGTCATAAGCCATCTTAAAACCACGTACTGCTTTGGAAATTTAAACTGTCAGAATTCCTGAGTCTTTGCCAAAACGGATTAGACTTTCGCTCCTTGTTGTTCTCATAGCAGAGTTTAGGCGTGGGATTCCCATGGGCTGATCATCAGGAGGGGACAGGGACGCAGCCTGGCACTGGTTGACGGTCAGCCCAGGAGCACAAGACGGGCAAGGGGCAGCACTCCCAGGGAACTGGCCCCCGGTTTCCTCTCTGCTCCCCTTTCTCACTCAGCACCAGACAACACGGGGGCAAAGCTCTGCAGCCCCCAGGAGGGGCACTGCCACTGCCGCGGCTGCTGGGGACACAGGGCTCGAACCGCTGCTGTTTCTCTCCTACCGGGGCCAGCTGTGCAGGCGGCACGGGAACCAGGCCTCGGGGAGCACAGCTCTTCCGCGGGCCAGGGATTCACCTTGACGGTAAAATGCACAGATGCTATCTGTTTGGGAGGGGGCAGAGTTTGGCATGGTGCATGTCTCCAGCCCCCATCCGTACTTCCACACGGATGTCAGGGCCTGTACTGAGACGCTAACACGGGCAGCCTACACTTGCAAGTGTCCCAGAGCTAAAGAAGGAGCAAAGCGGAGAAGAATACTTCATTATACTTAATCTTATTTCCTCTTCTTTTTTATCAAGTAATTATGTTTTTAAATAATTGTGTTTTATTTCTAATAGTTTAATGGTGAATTTTAGACACGCATATTCTAGCAGAGACTAAACTTGATGAGCAAGAACCTCAGCACACTTTTATTTCACCCCAAACTTTCTCTCAGCTGCTACATTGTTGCATAGGAATTTATCAGGAGCTTATTGATACATACAGTCTTTCTCAACTCAGGCTACTGTAACAAAACACCAGGGACCCGGAGCCAGAAACAGCAGGCATCTATGTTTCGCACAGCTCAGGAAGCTGGAAGTCCCACATCAGGTCCGGTAGACTCAGTTCCTGGCAGGGGCGATCTTTCCCCCCTGAGGTGCTGCTGTCTCAGGTGTTCTTGCCAGCTTTGTCTCCGTGTGCATGTGGAGGGAAAGAGTGGGAGGGAGGTCTTGCTGTCCCTTCTTACACGGACACTAATCCTGTAGGGTCAGGGCCCCACCCTCATGACCTCATTTAACCTTAATTACTTCCTTGGCCGCCCAGTATCCAAATGTAGTCACACTGGGGGCTAGGGCTTTAACACCTGAATTTTGGGGGAGACACAAACATTTAGTACAAAATACATGCCAAGAAATGAACACTTTTGTGTGCTATTCTATTTCAATGTCAGTTTTAACATATTTTCCAAAATATAATATTTATTTATTTTTTGTTGTTCACCAATTATTCATGAATTTCAGCACTTTCTTTGGTTTCTTTTCCTGCTACTATGTATCCCTAAGTATTTTTTTTTAAAAAAACAAGCAATCTAACTTTCTGATTCCTTGTCTGTCTGAAAATATCACTATTCAGCCTCATTCTTTAACAGTAGCTTGAATAGATACGTAATTTGAGGTTCACAATGAGTTCTCTTCAGCATCTTGGAGATGTCCTTTCATTTTTTTCCCGGTCTCCCTGGAAGCAGATGGGCAGTCTGCCATCCACCTGCTTGGGTTGTTTTGCAGACGATCTGTGTGTTCCCTGTTCGGCCTCCGCCCATCTCTCCTTGTCCTTGGTGTTCTGCAGTTACTTTGGGTATGTCCAGGTGTGGGCGCTTTCTTAAGAATCCTGCTCGGCATTGGATGGGATGTTTAAATCTGACTCTTTCTGTGCTTTGTGTCCGATGCCTGGAATGTCTCAGTTGTCAGTTCACATGTTGCCTCAGATCACATCACATCATCATGTCTGTTTTCTCTTCCCAAATCTCACCAAGGGGTCCATTGGGTCTTCTCCAGCTGTTCCCATTGCCCTGTCCTGTGTTCCCCTTTATGGCTCTCTGACTCTGCACTTCGGTCCAGGCCATTGCCGTGCCTCTGTCTGTAGTTAATTCGTTGTTTTTATTCAGTGACTTGTTAACTATTTAGTCCTGTGGGCCCCAACCCCTGGACTGCGGACTGGTACCGGTCCATGGCCTGTTAGGGACTGTGCTGCAGAGCTCTGCCTCCCTTCCCCCACTTCCCCCACCCCTGTCCATGGAAAAATTGTCTTCCATGAAACTTATATTTTAGGAACCTGGGGTTGGGGGGTCCACACAGCAGGTGAGCAGCAGGTGAGGGAGTGTATTTACAGCCACTCCCCATTGCTCATGTCTCCACCTGAGCTTCCCCACCTGAGTCCATGGAAAAATTGTCTTCCATGAAACTGGTCCCTGGCACCAAACAGGTTGAGGACGGCTGATCTAGTCCACCACTGAGTTCTTCCATAACCATACTTTTCATTTTCCCAGCTTCTAGTTGGTTTCATTTTTAGTAACTATGTCTTCTTGTTTTATAGCCACCTCATCTCTTACCGTAGCTTCTTGGTATTGTCGCATACATACCAGTCTGGTTTTTTTTTTTTTTAATCTCGTGGAGTCTTTAACAACCAGTGACTTTGACATCCTTCTCAGTTTGCTCTATCCTCTCCTGCTCGTTGAGTCTCTTGGTTTATTCATGTTGCTGGATTTACAGGCGGGTGGGTCTGGTTTGGCAAGTCATCTTCCATGAGGTGTTTTTCCTCCAAGCCCTGAGTGATGGCCACATCAACCAAGGCAGGTGCATCCGACAGCCCCGTCCTCAGCTGCTGCAGGGGCACCTGCAGACTCTCTCACCTGTTCCAACTCCTGTGCCAACCAGCAGGTGTAGAGGAATAAACACCACACTTGGTGACCAACTGGGGATGAGACCTGGGAGGTAAGTATCACCTTCTTTTTCACAGGTAACAGAGTCAGAGGTACATTCCCCATGGCCCCTGAGCCCCCAGGACTGAGCTGCGGTGCTCACAGTAGGACCAGCTCAGTGGCGCACCTTTGGGGTGGCTTTCAGATGAAGGACGCCCGCTCTGCCAACAGCTTCCTGACCTTCCCAAGCAGATCACCTGGGAAGGGGTGGGTCACAGGGTGTGGCCCTGTGGCCACCTGCTTATACACAGCTGTCTCTACAAGTTACCTGCAGGTCCTGCGACCCTGGCCTCCTACGCACACCTAGCCTAAAGCAGGGGGCGGGAGAAGCTTTAGGCTCTCAGAGACCCACGGACGATCTCTGGGAATGGTTTACCAGGCAAGCAGCTTCCAAAAGGCAGAGAAACCTTCCAGCCTCTAGTTAAGTGGGCAAGGAGTTGTGGCTCTGACTTCCTCACAGCTGTCACCCACTGGTGACGCTCAGCTCGGATTTTATAGTTCACAAACTTCCTCTACATGCCCGTTATCCCTCCCGTTGGCCCTCAGGACCCCCGGGGGGCAGCTGTTCTGGCGACTCCCAACTTGGAGAAGAGACCTGGAAGCTCACAGGCTTTCCCAGTGGCCCCGCCGAAGAGCCAGAGGCATTCTGTCTACACACCCTCCTTCTGCTGAGGCCACCGTCCTCTCTTACCTCCAACAAAAACTGTCTCAGCGCTAGGTCAGGGGTGTGGCCCGGGCCCTTCCCACAGGGAGGGGAACCTCAAGTTGGACAGAAAGGAACGACGTGCGGACGGAGAGGGTGGCAAGGCTCGTCTTAGAGAGAGGCCCCGGCGTGTGGCGTCCTCTGATGGAAGTTGCTAGAGAAGCATGCCTGGTGGCTCCCGGCTGCAGAGCCCTTGGGAAGCGCTTAGGGACTGTATTTGGGGGCTGGCTCCCGCAGTTCCCGAGTTGCTCCAAGGGATTTTAAGGTCTTGTCTCGCCTTCCTCTGAAATGAGAGATGCTTGTGAGAACAAGCTCATTAAACGCCAGGGCACACTGCAGGCCAGGCCGCGCGGCTAACTAAGTAGAGACAGGCACACAATTGACCCAGAAAGAGATTTTTAAAGATAGAGTTTAAGAATTAAGATAAAGTGCAGCTCCGGCGGCCGATCTGAGCGGCGTCGGCGGGAGCCTGCGGAGGGGTTATTTAAGCACTTGAGAGAGACTAAAGGCTTAAGTCTAATCTCCGCGAGGTGCTCAGACTCCCAGCACACTCAGCGCCGCGGAGGCTCCCGGGGCCCTGGGCATGACCCGGGCACGGAGGACGCCACGCAGCCTGCACACGCGTGGGCGCTCGCTGCAGCGGGACCCAGCCAGCCTCCCGCCAGCCTGGTGGCCCAGGGTGCAGGGCTGTCCCCTCCCCAGAGAGGGAATTGTCACTGACACGCTCTTTGGGGACAGATAGTTCCCCCATTCCAGCCCAGGAGGCAGAACTGGCTGCTGGGTGGCACCAGCTGAAGGTGCCAAGAAACCAAATCCAGAGCATCAGTTACCCTTGAGCTTGAGCCTGAAGTCCACTGAATGGCATCTCCATTTTCCAAAGCGCCTGGCGGCTGCTGCTTCATGCAAGAAGAAGAGGCGGGCTTGACAGACAGCTGGGGAGGGGAGAAGCAGTCTTTCAGAGAAAGACTCCGCAGGCCCTTCTGGAGGGAAGAGAGGAAATAAAAGATTCTTATGGGTCCCAGGAGATCGGAAGATTATAAAAAGCAGCACTAAAATGTTCCCAGGGCTCTTTAGTGAGGGGGCACCCTGACCCCACAGATGGCAGAGATGCTTGGTCACATTATGGGCTTTCAGTGTTGTTGTTGAATTGCAAAAGGGAGGTGGCTTCCCCATGCCTCTCCCACCCTACACCCCTGCCACCCCACCCCTCTGCCACCCCAGGCCCCCGCCCCCCATGCCTCTGCCACCCCATGTCCCAGCTACCCCATGCCTCTACCACCCCGTGCCTCTGCGTGAGGACCTGATCCAGGGTCCTCTAACCTTTTGCAGGAGGGAGTGGAAAAGGAGTAAGTGTGTAGGGGGTTTGTCTGGAGACCAAGAAAGAATATGAACAGACAATTCCAACTTGCCGCGGGGCCCTTAGCAAGGCCCAGGCAAGGGCTGTCTATTGGCAACTTGCCCACACAATCTCCAAGGGGCTGAGGCATCGAAGAGCCCGTCTTGCTGGCAGGTGTCCTGGTCGGGCACCCCTTAGCCCCTCCGCTGGGGCGCGGGACCTGCAGGCGTCCACTCAGGCCCTGGTGCAGCCATTCCCAGCATCTCCGCTTCCAGGGAGGCTGAGGCCCGGAGAAGCTGAGCCACCTGCTCGTGGTTCTGTGGCCTGTGTGTGGGGTCCAACTTGCCTTGTGGGAGCTGCTTGTGCCGTATCAACCTCCCGACACTCTCCAGCAAGCTCTAACTTCTGCTTTTATCCGTACCTGTTCTCACCCTGATCCTCCTTCGTCAGGGCAAAATTCTGAATCCGGGAAAGAACCCACGGCATACACAATCTTTGTCGGTGGTATCCTCTGGAGAGGTTCGGACAGTCAGAACTGCAGATTTGGGCTTTGAAAGCTGTGTTTTCTAAGATGTGGGCAGATGGGGAATTTAAAGGAGCCTGGGATGCCTTGCCCCCAGGTGGACAGGTGGCCCGGTCACCACTCTGGACATTGCCCCCGTGCTCGGGCTTCTGCTCCCCGAAGGCCAGGTGCTGGGGTCCCTCACGAAAGTCCTGACACAACCAGGAGCCCCCATCGCCTGTCAAGATCTCCTGGAGGAGCCAGGACCACCCACGGGGCAGATTCAGACCAGGACCGTGGAGACCCCTTCTGTCCTTTTACCTGCGCGAGCATCCGGAGAAGCCTCTGCGTTTTCCCGGGGCTCCGGGCCGGAGCGCTTCTCCGAGTCAAAAATATGGAAGCGGCTTCCATCATCCTCCAGGTTGGCGCTGAAGCGGGCCAGGGTGGGGCTAGAAAACAGGGCTCACCACCAGCGCCACCTGCAAAACCACGGTGCAAGCTGTCTCTGCAATTTTACGTGTCTTTAGTAGTCACAGTCCAAAATTAAAAAAAAAAAAAAAACAGGCCAGGTGAGATTAATTGTATATTTTATTTACTCCAGTGTATACTAAATGTCATCATGTCAACATGTCATCGGCATAAAAATTATTAAGGAGATATTTTTATTTGTTTCCTCCTGCAGTCTGTGGAGCCTGGTGTGCGTTTTACACTGACGTGCGTCTCAGCTGCAGGGCTCGGCAGCCGCCGCCTGTGGCCGGGCCGACCAGCTCCAGAGGATGCTGCTGTCACAGCGCCCCTCGGGTGCCAGCGCTCCCCCAAGGGCGCCGTCCCGGCTCCCGAGCTTCCGGAGGGCCTGGCACATGGGCGCTGTCTGGCCCGTGCACCGGAGAGAGCACACCCGCTGCCAGGGGGCGATGATGGACGCTCGCATGCCGCCGGCTCGGGGCCACTCTCTTGGAAAGATCTCTAGACTCTTGTCTTTTTGGTGTAGCCAAATGCTTTCCAACTTTATTAGGCCACAAAACGCTTTCTATCGACACTGCACGGGCCGCGTGCTGGCTAGCACACGTGAGCGGGCCGTGTTCGAGGGGAGCAAGGGCAGCAGAGCTCGGCGAACACGCTGCTGTGCCATCCTCACCGCGCCTCCAGCTGCGGAGCCCAGGCTGGCAACTCACTCGTTGTCACTCGTTGTCAGCAAATACCAACGGGGTGTCCCTGGCGGCCAGGAGCTGCCCGAGGTGCTGGGACACAGCGGTGGACGCACCAGACGACGCCCCTGTCTTCGGGGACCACCCGGTCAGGGGAGGGGTGCTGGGCTGGTGGGTGCTCGTTCAGCAGGGGTCAGGCAGGCCCTTTGGCTCCCGGTGAAAGTTGGCCGAGAGTGTCTCATGACAGGGGACCCAGCCGCCACGGCCGGCTGCCCGAGGGGGTCTGGGCGCTGCGGCCGCGCTGCTGAGGTCACTGCGGGAGCAG